TTTTTTGTTTAGGTTGATAAATTGGCCGTGTAATTGTTATATAAATTCCAATATCAATATTTTTTGCAGATAACTTTGTATATTTGGCCTTAAATTTAATAAAATCTTGCATGTCAGACAATTGTATACCAGCCCCGGTTTCTTTTTGTGTTTTAAATATTACGATATAGTCATTTGGCATGAGTGTATTATTTTTTGTTAATGTAGTGATTTTATTATAAAGCAATAAAAGAAATTCATCAATAGATGATACAGTTTCTTTAAACCATTTAGCTGGTAAAGTCTTTTCTGCTATATTTATAATCAATTTATAACTAATTTCACATTCGAAATCATCAGAATCATCAGATTCATCTTCATTATTCATTTCGCTATTGCTTGTTACAATAGACATAGATCAAGTAGGTGGTGAGATTATTTTTTAAAAAATATAATATTTTATTAAATATATATATAGTACAGTAATATATATATATATATAATTACAATAATATTCGGTAAGAAATCTGTATCCATTGTCAGTTCTGTAGCTGTATCCATTGTCAGATTCATATCCGCAGCTGTATCCATTGTCAGGTTCCTATCTGTAGTTGTATCTATTTTCCGATTTGTTGTTGTATCAGTCATTGTATCCACTAATTTTTTTTTATTTTTTGCAGGATTCAATTTTAACAAAATATTATTACATCGACTGCAAAGAGAAAAGTTGAAAGATTTCTTCAAATTTATTTGATAATTATGTTCTTGAACTATTTTATGAACATATTCAAACTTTGCAGCCGTCCAAGTAGGTTCATAAAGGTGTGTATACGCATTTTTAACCTCAGCAGTTCTATTTTTCTTATTTGGAACCAATGATTTTTTACAGCTACAAGTAAAATAGCATAAATCTTTTGCACAATATAAACATTTCCGACATCCAAAACATGTTCCACGATGATATTTAAGCTTTGTATTTGTAGCGTCTGCCATTAAGATTGACAAACTTGTGAAGAAAAAAAATTTTTTACCATTTTTAAAATTTATTAACAATTACATAAATATATTTTATAATGATAATTTGTTAATAATTACATAATATATTTTATTAACGATAATTTGTTCATAATTATAAAATATTTTATATTTTGGATTCCCGATTTTAGATTTTCGGATTTTCAGATTGTATGTGGTGTGTTCTGCATAAAATTTGATGGACACACTAATTTGAAAAGAGCGATAAAAGTGTCTCCACGGTTGAATAATAGCAATTCATCGTATGGCTCAATTTCTAGTGATCTAGTATAATCTATAAGCGCCTCTTCAAATCTATTCATCAATTTATAAGCACTTCCACGATTTCTTAATGCATCTACATTATTTTGTTCAATTTCTAATGACTTATTGAGATCTGCAAGTGATTCATCATATCTATTCATCTTCATGTAAATAGCTCCACGGTTTGATAACGTTTGTACATTTTTTGGCTCGATTTCTAACGATTTAGTAAAAAATTTAAGTGCTTCTATGTAATTTTCCATTAAAAGATATATAAATCCAAGAACTTGTAATAAAAAATCTGCTTTAATTAGCTCAACTTTTAGTGATTTCATTAAACCATTTGGTATTTGTAATAAAACCGAATTATGTTTTATATCTAGTGATTTTATTAAGTCAAAAAGTGATTCTTTATATTTTCCAACCATGTAATAACTTAATTCCCGATTCTTTAATGCAAAATAATTTTGCTCAATTTCTAGAGATTCAGTCAAATCTACTATCGACTCTTCATATCTTTCCATATTGAGATAGACTTCCCACGAATTCTTAACGTAAATGCATCATTTGGTTTAATTTCTAGTGATTTAGTTAGATCCAAAAGTGATTCTTCATATTTGGACATTTTTTGGAAAGCAGCTCCACGATACGATAATGCAATTGCATTATTTTGCTCAATTTCCAGCGCTTTATTTAGGTCTGTTAACGATTTTTCATAATTACTTGCATTTAAAAAAACAATTCCACGGTTTATTAAAGATAATACGTCTTCCGGTTCTAGTTCTAATACTATATTAAGATCAGCAAGTAATTTTTCGTAATTACGTGTTAAATAAAAAACATCTATACGATCGTACAAAGCAGGCAGGTAAATAATTATTATTAATTTCTAAAGCTCTATTCAAATCATCAAGCGCTAATTCATAGTGTTTCATGTTGACATGAATTTTTGCTCTGGTTGTTAGACAGTATAAATAATCTGGTTTAATTTTCAATGCCTTATTTAGATCTGTCAATGCTTTTTCATAATGTCCCATTTCATTGAGAATATCTCCACGTATTCTCAAGAAAATTTCATCATCTGGTTCTGATTCTAATGCCCTATTTAGACTTTGCAGTATTTTATCATTATTATATTTAAGTTTGACGAAAATATCAATTGAAGGCATCCATAAAGGATCAATTTTCTGAGCCTGTTCCAAATCTTCTAGTGAAGATTCATAGTTATTCATATTGGCATAAATACTTGCACGAGTCACTAGACACTCTACGTTATTTGGGTTGATTTCTAATACCTTATTTATATCTGCTAACGAATTTTCATAAGAGCCCACTTTATTAGATACACTTCCGCGTATTCTTAATAAAGTTTCATTCCGTGGCTCAAGTTTTAACGCTCTATTTAAATTATCAAGTGATCTTTCATAATCATTTTTTAAATAGTAAATAATAGCACGATTTCGTAAAGAAGGAATATAATTAGGATCAATTTTCAAAGCCTGGTCCAAATCTTCAATCGACTTATCATAGAGATACTGAAATTGATTGACCGTGCTAGAAAGTTTAAATTGAACGCTAGATCGAATTGTTAAACCAGCCACATTGCCGGGTTTAATTGCCAATGCCTTATTCAAATCTGCTAATAATTCTACATCAAATTGACCGCCTAAGACTATTTCAAAATCTTCATGGCCTGGCGCTATTATTATTCTATCTAAATCAACCAATGATTTATCATAATTTTGCAGAAAACAATAAAAACTTGAACGAATTCCCAAAGCAGATAAATCGTTAGGATTAATTTTCAAGACTTTATCCAAATCTTCAAGCGCCATTTCATATCGATTCATATTGATATGGATTCTCGCACGAATTATTAGGCAAGCTGTGTCATTGAGTTTAAATTCTAGTGCTTTATTTATATCCTCCATAGATTCATTATAATGGCCCATGTCATTAAAAATATTTCCACGCATTTTTAGTGAAAATATGTGATTAGGTCTGCATTTCAGTATTATATTTAAATCTGCCAGCGATTCCTCGTGATTATGTTCTAAATAAAAAATTGTTGCCCGATAACGCAAAGCAGGTATATAATTAGGAAAATTTTTCAATGCTTTATTTAGATCTACAAGTGCTTCCTTGTAATTATGTTCTCTGATGTGCGTATATGCACGAGATACTAGGCAAGATGCGTCTGTGGATCCAATAACTTCCAATGCCTTATCAAAATCTGCTAATGATTTTTCGTATTGATTCATGTTACAGAGTACAACACCACGCATTTGTAGTAAAAAAGTATTTTCAGATTCAAGTTCTAATGCTCTGTCTAAATCACAAAGTGATTTACTTTGATTACCTATCCTGGAATAATACATTGCCCGATAACGCATAGCATGTACGTAATTAGGATCAATTTCTAAAGCTTTATTTAAATATTCTAAAGCAGGCTTAACATCGTTATTTTCATTAAGTTGAACCGCTGCACGAATTGTTAGGTCAACTGCATTGGTAGGTTCAGCTTCCAATGCATTAAATACTTTTTCTATATCATTAAAAAGTGAATCTTCTGGTTCAAAGAATTCTATTTCGGCTGCTTCATTGAATATCCAATCACGACTATCAATTTTATCAATTTTAGAAGGGACATTGTCCAAGAACTTATGTAAATATTTAATTTCGAATGATTTACTAAAATCTGCAAATGCCTTTTTAACATGACGCAGTTGCAAATAAGCAAATCCACGCAAACTCCATAAGCATCTGCCAAGATAATCATCCCTAAAAGAAAATTTTATATTTTTTTGCGCATGATCAGATATATGGATTCTAGACTTTGGGTTAATTTTCAGTACTTCAGTAAATTCTGCAATTGCGTCACCGTATTGACCCAATCTAAGATGTGCAAGCCCACGATGATGTAAAGCTCTTGAATCATTTGGATTTAAGCTAAGTGCAATATTAAGATTTGAAATAGATTCTTCATAATTTCCAGAAAAGTAATTAGATATTCCATGAGTCTTAAATATGAATGAATTTTGTGAAGCTATCAAATATAAGAACGTTTGTTAAAAATAAATCATTAATTTTGTTAGAATATTATAAATTGGAAATATACTCTTATTAAGATCTAGAAGTATCAAATCATCATCATCCGGAACATTATGATTTGGCATAGATTCAGAATTTAAATGATATTCTAAAGAATTAAAAACACATATGTACATGTAAATATTTGTAATGCGAATTATATAATTTTTATTCTTAATTTTGTTCTGATAAAGTTAATATTGTTTCGCATTACAGTGCCCGACAAAAGTTTCCCCGCACCTGTAATTTCCGAAAATTCATGTTTAGAAGCATAAAATTTCATACAGGGCATAGTACATCACATATGCAGATTGTACTAAACTTCTTCGGGCACTGTATATAGTAAAAATACTCACGTTCCTTATACACCAATTTTTAATCAAAAATATGCCTCTTTCTTTACATAAGCGATATGAAATCGTGTTTTTAACAAGCCACTCAAAGGGCCCAAGCTCTCAATGCGTGAGACAGCAAAGGAGGTTCACTGTAATAAAAAAAACAGTGCAAGAATAGGCAAAAAGATAGCAAGAAAGTAAAGGCCTAAGTGACAAACCAAGGTTGGGTTGTCAAAGGGTCACCACGCAAAAACAAGACAACTGGATTTTGAAGTTAGCAAAAGAGAATATAGATATCTCAGCACCAGAAATCTGCTGTGAGCTTCTAAAACAGAATATAAACATTCATGTATACACTATTCAACAGCACCTTGGTGAAGGTGAGGTTCATTATTATGGAAAACTTGCAAAGTCTTTGCTCAGAGAGAAGCATCAGAAAAAATGGCTCTCATGGGCAAAGAAACATAAGAATTTTGACTGGATTTCTGTGATATTTACTGATGAAAGCACTTTCTGCTTGAATCAGTAGTTAAAAAGATGTGACAGTTCATCGGGGTAAGGAAAATAATCTGTTCTGTCAAGTATCTGTTAAAAGTTTACATATGAGAGAGTTTTTCTTCTTCCGGCTTTGGAAGGTTGGTCTGCTTTACATGTAACCTTAATCACAATATATAATCATTCTGTATGAAATGGCCCTTCTACCTTCTGCTGTGAATCTTTTTGGTAAAGGTTGTGATAGTTAGATTTTGTAGATGGACAATGACTCGAAGCACTGTTTGAAAATAGCAAAAGCATAGAAGGAGAAAAATGAAGTCAAAGTTCTTCCCTAGCCATTGATATCATCTAACCAAAACCTGATTGAGAATGTCTGGGAACTTATGAAAATGAACCTGGAAAAAAAAATTAGTAAACTTAGTGTTTTGAAAGTACAAATAACAAAAGAATAGAATCAATTACTGAAGGAATATGTGGCTAATTTGGTGAGTAGTATAAAGCATTGTATGAAGGCCCTAATTGAAGCAGAGAGCAATTATTATTTTTTTTTTTTTTT